TTCTCATTCTCTAAGGTGAGTATATTGCCCGTACTCAACTTTAGATCTATCGTACCCTTTCTAAGCATATTTGTCATAGCTTGGGTTTGAATCGAATTACCATCACCTACTGGTTCAAAAGTCTTAAACATGTCTCGATTATTAAATACATGAATGGTAGTGTCAATATCGACCCACCATCCATTTTCTTTACCGCTCATATTTACTTCGGTAACCATTGCTACAAAAGTTTCTTCAGTGGTCAAGTTCACTTGGTTTCTAGGCCTTTTGAGGCATTTTTTATGTCGACAATCTCTTGAATAGTGCCCCGGTTTTCCGCATATATAACAAGTGGATTTCTTTTTATTATTATTGGCAATAGACTTTTTGTCCTTATAATTTTCATTATGGCCTTGGAAAAGAAAAACTTCTTGTTAAAAGGAGCACTTGATTTTTACTCAACAAGGTTTGCCATAGAGTGAAATAGATTTTTGCTCAAAGTGCACCATCAAGCACGCCCTCGCACACACATATGCACACGCACATGCATCACACGCTTCGTATTTTCCGCACATGCACATTCTCTCTCGTTTGTACTTAAGAGTATATTGCATGGGAATGCATGCTTTTAAATACAGCTCAACAAACTCTCTCATCTTCAATGCGAGACTCAAACCCACATCTTTTTCTCTCTACAAAGCAATTTAGGAAAGAACGATGAAACAAAATAATAATATATAAGACCTTTATTAAAAATAAGGTCACACATAACATCAATTAATGATGATTCCAATTAAAGATCCGAACCTACTTGCTCTTCACCTTCAAGAGGATCTTCATCAAATTTAGGTAGATCGCTCTCCCGACCATGAGGATCCCAATGTAGAGCGTGCGTATGGAACGAGTTCTCGAAAATAGTGTCTGACTCACCACCATCACCACAGTGTGTTGTGGTTGAATTTTGCATCAAGCCTTGTGTTAGCATATCTATTTGCCTTCTCAAATCTTCGATCTGTATGTCTAAGAGGTCCCGCTCTTGCTGAATTGGCTCATTCTCGGCACCTAGCTCTCGAGTACGTCTATGAACCATGATGCCTTATCAATGAGCACCACGATTGCACAAATATCACTATAATACCGCCTGACGCAGTTGAAAATTACCGATCGACAATAGCCGACAAAGAACTACATTTTAGAGAAAAAAAACAGAGAAGAAATCAACAAGAAGATAGCTCAAACGTGCAGATTAGAGTTCTTCGGCACACACCCACAAGCACAAGAAGGAAAAAAATTTCACAAAACGCCAAACGCACTTTCTCTCTCTGCACGATCTCCAAAAGCTAACTTTTTATTTACATCAAGCTTCAACTGTTTACAATGAGCTCTTCCCTTTTTAAACACCCTTTTACAACTTTCCTTGCCAACTAGTCGCGTTAATCTTTTCCTAAAAGATAAGTTTAAGAACCCCATCTATTAAAGCAAACCCTCTCTTCATGCCCTGAGAGATATATCTAAATGATTCTACCTCTTAAAACGAACCACTTCCCACTAAAACCTCCTTTTTATGTTGATCTTAAAACTACGGCTATTATCTATAAGACAACCCTACCTAAATTCAACATATACATAAAAATTCAACATATACATAAAAATGGACTTATAAAAAAAATATTTATCAAACTAACCCAAAGAATCATAAACTAATCTTATTTCTAACATATTAACTCTAATAAAATAAAATAAAAAAGTTCACCCACAAAAAAATAATAATTAAGTCTCCCAAACTTTGAGAAAAATAAAAAGTATTGAATCCATCTTATATTGATCTGCATCACTCTCCCGTGCCCTTCTTGCCCCAATTGTTGGATGGAGATAGGAGGGACGAGGCTCCTCCGCCTACTTCATTGAGGCACCCCAAGCGCTTGGCAAAGAGAGTCTAACTTCTCAAGGACGAAGTGCACAAAAATTTTGGTAGAGGAAGTGCGTACTCCGCCTCAATTTCCTGTGTAACTCATCAATCAGTGTTAAGGGTCCCATCAAATTGTAACCCAGACGAGTAATTGGCCGTAAGACCACCCCATACGAATTACCGACAATGTCGGCTTGAGGGCGAGAAAACTGAAAATCCGATAGAACTAGGAGAAGATTTTTTTGTTCAAGAGAAAGGAAGCAAAAGAAAATAATAAAAGTAAAGCCAAAGAAAGGGGATTGACCTTAAGTCAAGCCCCCAGGACCAGCACTTGGAATCGATGGTCGTTTCATGATCGTATTTGATGCGCCGACTAGTTCCAGCCACTTTGGAATTCGTTGGGTTAGAAAGGACTGGTATTAGGGAGTTTTGAGATTCAAAGGTTGTTGGTATTAGGGTTAGGAGTGTCAGGTTTGAGGTTCAGGTTGAAGGCACAGACTTAAGGTTTTTATGGTCAAGGCGATATATAGTGCGGTAAAGTTTCGGTCCTTATGAGAATTTGGGGTCCCAAAATTGAAGGACATGGCTTCTATTTATAAACAAAATCCCCTTCAATAGTGTCACAAAGTTCCAACTCATGCTCAGCTGTCAATTTGCAACACCAACGGTGCCAACGCTCACTAGCAATGGCAACTACACAATTATTTTAAAGTCACATCACCAGTGCCAACGTTGTCAATGAATCATTAAGGCATGCGTAACATACTTCCACTCGTTAATGAAAACACTGTTCCTGTTGGCAGCTTGGGATCGGGGTCACTGATTGGTGGCGTCGCCACAACTAACATCAGGATTGCCGCTAATGAAGCCACATTCCTAGTGATGTACATTGGCAACGGTTCGGGCCTGTCCTTTTCTAGGCGTTGCTACCACACACATGGGCGTGGGCACTGTCAATGTTAGCCTTAATCATTCCATTTGAATAATTAGTCCTTCCCTATTTAATTAAATCACTTTTCGTACATGTGGGGGACTGACGTTTCTTGACGTTGCCACCTCTGATGTCGACATCGACACCACCAATGCTAGGCCTAATCATTCACTTTTCAATAAATTGTACTACCCCATTTAATGAAACCATTGCTCCACACAAGTTGACGTTATTCGATTCCTAGTGTGGGCATCACCAACGCTGGCATGAGTGCCACTGACACTACGTTCACGTGAGGCTTCGGGCCTTATTTTTTGGTGGGTCTTTAGGTTAGTGGTTTAGGCCAATTATGGTGAAGTACTGAAACTGACGGCACTACCACCCCTAATGCGGGCATTGGTGGCTCTGACGCTAAGGTTAGGACCTTTGTTGTGGCATTTGTGGTCCTAATAACAGTGTTGGTGGTCTTCACAACTGGCCTTTTACATCACTGCCCCTAGTGTGAGAGTTGGGGGCTCTGGCGCTAAGGGTTAGCCCCCTTGTTGCAGCATTTGCGGTCCAAACGCCGGCATTGGTGGCACCAATGCTGGAGACCAATGCATCATTTCTATCAACAATTCCACAAGCTATAACTTCCAAACCGTACATTGCATTCAACGATTATAGAGCCATTGGAAAGCTTATTTAAAATCTATTTTGAGCCCAAAATATTGATTCTTGAAGGATCTATGAGGCTTAGGCTTCAAGGTGTCTGCTTTCGCGGTTCTGGGTCTCAAAATTGTGTATAGATTGATTTTTGAGGTATCTCTTGATCCTAAATCCTATGGTTCCCAAGTCTTGGGCTTCCTGGAATTCCCTTAACGAGGGATAGGGTGTCTACAGTCATTGAAGCATTATATATTACTACAAGATCAACATCATTGGATTCTATGAGCAAGCCAACTTATGCCACATAGTGAGTGTGTGATTTTGTGTGTGTGCATAGGGATTGTATGCTACGCATTTATATTTGTTGCAAGGAGATCACAACTATTCCTAGTCATTAAATGTCAAATTGGATAGCTTAGGGTGAGTCACAAAATCCAAAAAGTTTTTATTTTAAGTCTAGTCAATAACACTCTTGTAACCACCCAATTTTAAAATCTGTCAGACAAGAGTGATTGTGACCTCCCAGTATAAAAAGTAAATAGTCTCTTCTTATACTTTTCTATATAAATATGTGAGTGGTTTCATGCCATTGTGTCATTGTAATATAATAAAATCATATTTCAAGAAAACCATTTGTGTGGCATTTATACGACAACATTTTACATATACATTGTCTTCATCCCAACAATCAATCCCAAAAAATTAACATTCAAATTTCACGTTACGTATAGTCAAATAAGCACCCATACAATAAGGAATCTCAACCGTTCATTTGATGATTTTAAGCTCTTGGCTTTTAGGAATTCTAAATCATTAATTTCCTTTTTAACATTGTTAATTTAATAATAATAAAGCGATCTACAAAATTTAGAAAAAAAAAAAAGTTCATTTTGAAGCTCAGATCTAAGCATCTTATCAAATGGATGACCTATGTTAAATGGGTTAAAAAAACGTTGTTTAGGGTGCATTTTGTATTTTTGTGATTGCTCATCAATTATATATATATATATATATATATATATATATATATGAGAAAAATAAATGGACCTAACATAATTTTTTAGGATTTTTCCGTATATTACACTAAAACTATTGCATGAAATCACTCCCAATTGTTCTTAGCTCTCCCTTTCATTGACTTTGCTCGTGGAGAAGAGGTTTTAGGGATTTCCTTTCATCATATAAGAGTAGACTGTAAAACATCCTATCGAAGGATTTCAAAACACCATTACTTTCTGGGTGCAGGTGGCATACAGATGCATCTGTAGCTGTAGAGGTAAGGTGCACCCTCAAATTTTATCATGGGTATATAATTTTGATGCAAAATGTTAGGATTATCTTAAAATCTATTTTTATATCTAATTATAAGATTTTAAATTTAAAAAATGGTTAAAATCAAGTAAATCTATAAACATATGAAAATCTTAAAAATAGACGGTGTAAATATTATATTATAAAATACACTATTTTTTAGACTTAAAATCTTTTTATTTTTCATGATCTTACATCTTGATGTCTGAATCGAAGGGTTTTTCAACATTAAAACTATCTTTTCGGATGGATTTTTTAGGTGCATCCGTGCATCCGTAGCTGCATACGTATAGCTGCAGAGGTAAGGTTGCAACCTTATATAAACTTTTTCCTTACTTTTTATACAATTATATTTCCCATTCACGATCTCGGTGCATCATTCTATCCCACTTGCAGTTCGGTTCCTTAAGGAAAAACATGGCAATTCTTCTACTACTACTACTATTTTTTGCTTATGGCTCCTTGCTCTATGTATCTCAAGAATCCAATTCTCTCTCTACTGGAGAGAATCCAAACCTTCTCCCAACTCTCGCAAATCCATACCCAAATGATCACAACTTCTCTTGTAACCAATGTATTTGCAGCAAGCAAACTCGTATCAGCTCTTACCACTTCAAATTTCTTAGATATGGATTATGCCGAACTTATCTTCTTTCAAATCTCCCACCCCAATTCGTTCATCTTTAACACCATGATCAGAGGCCATGCTTTGAGCCCCAAGCCCAGTAGAGCCCTCCTATTCTATGCCCAAATGCGTAAAATCGGAGTCTTACCTGATAACTACACCTACCCATTTGTGTTGAAGGCCTGTGGACTTATTAAATATCTACAATATGGGAGCAAAATTCATGCCCATATGCTGAAATTTGGGTTTCGATCAAATGTGATTGTGCAAAATGCTCTAATTAATATGTATTCGAGGTGTAATGCTACTGCTATTGCACGTCAAGTATTTGATGAAATTCATGGGAGGAATATTGTTTCTTGGAACTGTATGCTAGGTGGGTACGTGTATTGCTTGGAGATCGATTGTGCATTCCGATTGTTTGATGAGATGAGAGAGAAAGATATTGTCTCTTGGTCGATTATGGTTGATGGGTATGGGAAAATTGGTGATTTGAACAATGCTAGAAAATGTTTCGATGAGATGCCTGAGAGAGATTTGGCCTCTTGGAATGCAATGATGGGTGCATATACTCGAGTAAACGATGTTAATAAGGCGCAAAAATTATTTGAAGAAATGCCCAATAGAAATGTGATCTCATGGAGTATTATGATGGATGGGTTAACCAAGAATGGGAAATGCCAAGAGGCATTGCTTCTCTTCAACCGAATGATGGTGGAAAGAGTGAAGCCCGATAAAGTATCTTTAGTAAGCACGCTCTCAGCTTGCTCGCAATTGGGTGCCTGCGAGCAAGGGCGATGGGTCCATACCTTTATCAATAAAACCAAAATAAAAACCGATGTTGTATTATTGACTGCCATCCTCGATATGTATACAAAATGTGGGTGTATCGATGAAGCGAGGAGGCTCTTTGATGAGATGCCTGAGAAGAATTTGATCACTTGGAATGTGATGATTGTCGGGCTAGCAATTCATGGCAATGGTGAGGAAGCCCTTGATCTATTCTTGAAGATGAGAAACGAAGGAATTAAACCAGATGATGTCACTTATATTGGAGTACTGAGTGCTTGTAGTCATGGGGGCCAAGTGAAAGAGGGCTGGCAATACTTCAGAGAGATTTTAGTCCCTAAAGTTGAACACTATGGGTGTATGGTTGACCTTTTGGGACGAGCTGCTATGCTTAGAGAAGCTTATGAACTCGTTAGGAGCATGCCCATGAGGCCCAACTCAATAGCGTGGGGCGCACTTTTGGCAGGGTGTAGGCTTCATGGAGATGTTGAGTTGGCTAAAATTGCGGCTGACAAGCTTGTTGAGCTTGATCCTAGTGACAGTGGGATTTATGTGCTTCTTTCAAATGTTTATGCGGGTGCGAGGATGTGGGATAATGTAGAGAGGGTGAGGGAGATGATACAGGGGGGAAAGTTGATGAAAGAGGTTGGGTTGAGTGTCATTGAGGTGAATGGTGCTGTTTATGAGTTTGTTCATGGTGTGAGGAGAGACGAGATAATTTGGGTAGTGGAGAGTTTGGGGAAGATCTTGCAATCCAAGGATCATTCCTCCATTTGTAGACTTTTATAACGTTGGGGATTAGCATGCATAAGCCTCTCTCTTTCTCACACATGCGCCATAGATGCCTATATGGCAGCCCTGTAAATTGTGGGCTACATTTTAGTTTGTAGCAAACTGAAATGCTAATGTTTTGCTTTTCACCAATTCTATGCTGTTGGTATTAAGGATGGCAATGGGCCAGCAGCCTGTCCCCAAACAGTTAGGGCCTATGCCATTAAATTTAGTCCTAGGGCCAAACACAGACGTGAACCAAACCAATCAACAGGACCGGACCACCTAGAGCAAGAGTAGGTCTGGGCTTGGGCTGGGTATCGCTTGGTCTGGTCAAGATTGGGCCTGGACTAGCTCTCCCAGCCAGGGCCAGGCCGTGCCTGACCCATTGCCACCCTTAGTTGGTAGGCTAACAATATACATATAACAAATGGGAGTTAAAAAGAAACCATAAGGATAAAACGAACCAATGGGATATGTTTGTCATAGTGAACCTGTAGTGATGATTTTGGTGTTGGCCTTTTTAGCACAGGCGGCTTGTCTCCTCTTTTCCCCATTAACACTACTTTGCTACTCCAACCTTATCAAAAACGTGTACAGGTTACACACAGAAATATGCATCTTGTAATTGGCCCATTTTTGGGGTTCATGTGGCCCCCAAAATGCACATTAGCACAAGAGATTTGGCCTTTTAAGAATACTGGAATTGCTTTGGTACCTTTGGGTTCCTTTCTAGAACCCCTATATGTCAGCAGACATTTAAAATGTGTCATTTTGTATGTGGGTTGGAAACTGAAAATACAAAAGTTTTTGCTTACTTTTCAAGTGAGATAATGATATTCGTTGATTTTGAGTATTGATGTGCAAAGGTAGAGCTATCAAAGTTTCTTCGTGCTGGTATTTTTCTGAATTTTGTTATGCCCGGTAATCAGATCTCCTTGGGCATGCATACTTGTTCCCAACATACCAAATGCTGTGGGGAGGGGAGAAATCCTTAAAAAGTGTAGAGGAAGGGATATCATGGGCAGACCCTACAGTGGTGTCAGCCCTCTAGAGCATTTGTTCCATCACAAATTACTCGGTGAAGAAGCTCAGAAAAAAATATTTGAACAAAAATCCTGAATCATTTTTTTGAACCCAATGAGCACATGCACTCAATTCAAGGAACAACTAGATATGACCCTAGAAAATTCAGAATCAATTCTTAGTTTTCTTAGCAGTTCATCTAGCGATAGCAAAACGATCTATAAAACTGGGATCAAGGAAATCGCTAGAAAAGCTTGATCCAACGTCATTTTTCTTTCTTGAAATGGATGTCTGTTTTCTTTTTCGAATTTTTTCTGATGATAGTTGCATCCAACACTTGGGAGCCCCCAAAATGCGAGAGGGATTCAATGTACTGTTTTGCACTTGGGGCAGACCAAATGTCTACTACAATACTGAAAAGCATTAATAAGACCACTTTTAGTAAGTGGAGGTTACAATCACTTCTAGCTATTGGATGTGAAACGGGTGAGTGGAGGCGTACAAGGGTTAATTTTCAAATTCACGTCTGACACGGTAAACGTGACCGTATATCAAAGACAAATTGTCTTTTTAGTGTATAATATATACCATCAATGGGCAAAATTGCAAAAATCACATGAGACACTATGAACTAATTTACCCAGAAATAGGAAAAACACACCACAAATCTACAAAACAAAAACTGCACTGATCTCTATATCCTGTGGGAGACAATCCCTTACAATATATACCATAAATGGGAAAGTTTGGAAAATCACATGAGACACCCTGAACTAATTTTACCCAGAAATACGAAAAACACACCACAAATCTACAAAACATAAACTGCACAGATCTCTATATCCCGTCCCACAAAGTGGTTATCTGACTGACAATTTCTCTCTGAAATAATGCATAGATAAGCAGTATTTGTTCCACGACAACTGGAATTAAGCATCAAAAAAGACAGAAGACATAATATCCTCTCAAAATGTTCAAAATAACTCAGAAAAATAAAGCACAACAAAACACGGTGGAGAAGCAATGCACCAAAGTAACATTGCAAGCTAGTTAGCAAATTATCGAGTTAAACGAGAACTGTGTCTTATTCCCCCCCCATATATTCTTTTCTCTAGATCCAAACTGCATTGTCGTACTGAGTCATTAGATGGACCATAGAAGCAGCAAATTGTATGTTCGCAAACCTGAAATTTGCAGACAAAAAGTAACTTGATTCGTGTGATTATTAATATTGGTGAAAAATGTGGGGCTAAGGGACAATTCCAATCGCATCATCAAAAAGTCACAACTGATCAACATTTAATACAGTATATTCCACCAAAACAGTTGTATACAAGAGTTCGTCTGGCATCCAAAGTCTCCATCAGATTGCTTTTGCATCAAGATGAGTGTTTGATTAAGATAAGAAGTTTTCTCAACAAAGAACCGAGAGATGTCTCATAACACAACCTCGTCAATACTTTTCGTAGAGAAATATCAGGTGGATCAACAGTGCAATCTGCACTTATGATATATGGGGTGTATGGCAGTCTATGGGTGCATATGCATGTGACAGTACCATTAGTGAATGGAAACTTATAGAAAATGCCTGAAAAAAACACTACAGTAACATTGTGAAACAAGAACATATTGATCTAAAATGTACTGTTTGTCTATCAACCTCCACATTTCCAAAATTACCCCACATAAAGATGATGAATAAATCATTTTTTGCTCTTTTAACCCAAGCTCAACTATAATTGGCTCCAAGTTTAGCTAACTTTTAATTCTACAGGTTTTTTACTCTAAAGCCATTGAACAATAATTTTACGGCCTCACCTAGTGATTCAGATCAAAATCTGGCTACTACAAATTTTTAATTTTATTTTTGTTAATCTAATATTTGGAGATTGGGTAGACTTTTTTTTTTATTTTTTATTAGAGTATTTTTGCCGGGTGGTATTCGCTGGTAAGTTTATACTGCCTCACCTAGTGCCATAAGATTTAATACTTGACAATTTATTGTCTAAACTTTCAATAAATCCAACAAAATGCTTATTCTATTGTCGAAACACAAAACATATCATATATTAATTGGGAGCATAAAATGAAACAACAATAATAATATTAAATATAAGAACCACATTAGTAAATAACAAGAACTGTAAAACAAGGTCTCGATTATTGTTAAAAACAAAAACAAAAAAAGACCCTCAGTATACGCAGTTAACTAAAACTGAAAATATTATGTTGTATACACCGGCAATGAATATATATATATATATATATATGAAATCAAACTTCTCCATGCATAAAAAAAGCAACAAAATGCTTAAGCAAATTCAAATCTCACTGAATTTCCTATCTTTATCATTATTGAATCTCTCTTTTGCTACTTATAAGGATGCTCCAGGTTTAAAAAAAGAAAGGAAAGATTTTTCATTGGGTTACGCTTCTTCTAAATCTAACTGTTATCCATGCATAAAAAAAAGCAACAAAATGCTTAAACAAATTCAAATCTCACTGAATTTCCTATCTTTATCATTATTGAATCTCTCTTTTGCTACTTATAAGGATGCTACAAGTTTAAAAAAAGAAAGATTTTTTATTGGGTCACGCCTCTCCAAATCTAACTATTATTTTGATATATATAATTGTTTTGATATCTTATTTTTGGAGAATATATTGCTCTTATTTATTCGTATGCTTTTTCAAAGGGAACTTATTGTTGAAATTGTTTATGTAATTTTATTGTTAAAATAAGAATTTTAATTTACTCCCACTATTAATGTGCTTATCTTTCATCTAAAATTCAATAATATTATGCTAATGAAGAAATGAAGTCATAGGGGAGAAGTTTTTCTGAAAAAAGATAAAATACATATCTATATTGGTTCCATTAAAAAACACCTTTTTTTGAAGGTCTTTTGAAAAACTCGGAGTTCATGACGGATTTCAAAAAGCCAGAGACGTTTTGAAAAAATCATATGTTTTAAACGGATTTTATTTTATTTTTATTTACTTCCCTCTTTAACTACTAATCAAATATTGCTTCCGTCGAGTGATCCTCATATCATGTACTGATAGGATTGTAATCTAATCTATCTTTCTTTCGTTCCTTCCTTCAAAGTAGGCGGTAGGCACTAGCATAGGCGGTAGGCGGTATTCACTAGCTCATGTATGAGGTCTATTATTCAGGCAGTAGGCACTAGCTTAGCAGGTGATAGGAGGCACTGGCTTAAGGCGATAGAGGGCAGTTGCTTATGTATTAGTCATTTCAGTAGTCGTAGGCGGTAGGCACAGGCAGTAGGCTAATATGTACATCTCAATCATATCCAGCATAAGACAACTAGATCAACTCGATGTTGAGGAAGACCAATAGGTAGGTTTAAGGAGAGCGATCGATAGGCTTCCTGAGGAGAGACCAACCGATCCCACTCAGTTGAGTTGGCGATAAGCGATAGATGGCATTGGCTTAAATGTTATATCAGTTAGAAGGCACTGGCTTAGCAGGCTACAGAGGGAAAGCTTATGATTGATATCAGTTGAAAGAGAAGGCACTTGCTTAGCAGGCGGTAGGCTAATCTAAATCTCTTGTTCCCTCTTTCTTATAAATCGGTCTTCTACTTTCAAGCACTTTCAAGCAGGCAGTTAGCTAATTGCAATATCTTTTTCCTTCAATCAGTCTTCCAAGCAAGCAGGCAGTAGGCACTTCCACTTTCAAGCAGGTGGTTGGCATTAATATCTCCATCTTTCCCGCCAGTTTGCAACTCTCCAATGCTAATGGTCTTCCTCTTTGCATAAGGACTGCACCAACCCGTATCCCTGATGCTGCACACTCAATCAAAAGAATAGACTTTTCTGGAAAGGCCAAAACCTATTCCGAAGCACTGTTTGAACTTAAATGCCTGTTGCGTTGCTTTGGACCATGCAAACTTTGTGAGATCGGGCCAACAAACCTCTGATGAATCTTTAGTCCTGTAATAACTGCATAAGCCCGCCCATAAACCCCCTCAACTGTGTAAGGGTCCTTGGAATGAGCCACTCTAGGATCGCCTTAATCTTGATCATCATAAGAAAGACTGAACCATTAAATACTATTCAACCAATATAAAAAATTTTGCTCATGCCAAACTCACACAACGATTTCTCAGCATAGACACTTTCTTGTTGCAAGACCTCCAATACATGTGCCAAGTGGTCTAAGTGCTCATCCCAAGTCTACTATATACACACCAAAATGTAATAAAGAATGAACGAACCGATAAACTCGTTACGCAACACGACAGAACTCCTAGCAGGCTTGAATTTAAGAAGGCCTCGCTAGCTTAACGACTTAACTCTTTCGCCTATAGACTTGGAAAGTTTTCCTCGTCCTGCCTTTTCTTTTCTTTCACTGGACCAAACACCTCAAGTAAGCCTAAGCCTTATGCCTTTCTGGATATGTCTCAATGTCCCAGCTATTCACGGAACGTGAGAAGCAGATGAATAATCATCTGTTTTCAGAAGAAATCGAAGAATTTACTAGGAATCCTACAAGATCAATTCGTTCTTTTTTCTCTGATAGATGGTCAGAACTTCATATGGGTTTGCCGCGACTATGAGCTGCTAGAGCGCCTTTCTTTGGGTCGCTACGCTCGGGGTCGAGAACTAGTTCAAAAGTAGAAGGTGATCCAAAACAAAACGAGTTAACGTGAGTTTTCGAACGACGTTTTTTCCCGCTTTGGGTTTTGATTCTTGGAGGACTTTTACAAGTACAAAGCAAAGCAAAGATGCCACACACACACACACACTCTTACACATGTTTTGTGCGTTCTTTTTGGAGTTTTCAGCTTTTAAAACTTTACGAACTTCCACAATTTGTGCCAATGTCAATTGTTGACTTCTGCTTTATGCCTTCAATAGTTAGTCGCTCATTTGTTACATATTTGATATTTCTTTGTCATTGAGTAAAGTATTGAATCTATTAACTTATTGCTCGATGTTGGTAGTTTATTTTTGTTTCTAATTATTTTTTCATTTTTTCTTATTTCTTTCAGACTTTTTCTAATATCACTATTTTTAAATTAATAGACAAGTGAACCAATCTAGAATGGCCAGTGTAATCAGATCGGTGCCCTCATGGATTCAGTCACTGATTTGGTTTAAGCAACATTGATCTGCATTATTTAAGGCTTTAAATTTTAGAAAATTTTGGGTTTTATTTTTTTGGAAGTGTGAAACTGTTTGGAAAAGATGTGGACTTATGGCCTCACTGAGCGTATGGCTTTTATTAGAGCAAAATAGTAGACCAAGATTCGTGTAGCCGACTCCAGTTAATTGGGAAAAGGCAATGATGATGATGAGTTTTTTTAAAGTGATAACTCTTTAGAAAACTTTGGGTTTTGATAAGAGATTTGCAAAACCAAGATTCGCTCCTCCTTTTAAGAGTTCAATCATGATATCCCCTATAAAAAATATATTCTTGTTAATCCTTGCAAGTTTAATAAGTAGATTCATATTGATCTCTACAAAATTACTTATTTCATAATTTATTGTTGCAGATGTTAAATAGATTTATCCTATCCAATTAGTATTCAGTAATGCACCCAACCAAAAAAGTAGATGCATGTGTAGAAAATTTGTAAAAAAAAAATAATCTATGGCTCATGTATTTACTTAAATTTATTAAGATTTATCCTCCTTTTTTTTTCACTTAAGCCTTTTTTGTATCTTTTTATTTATTTTTTATTTTTTAAAAAACTTCTGATTGTATTAAAGTAAATTGACCTGGCTACACTAAAGAACAAAGAATATATAAAGGGGGTGAGGTTTGTATAAGGTGTCAACCTTATAATATTGAAGTAAGGTGCACCTCAAAACTATGCTGAAAATGCAGTTTCGGTGCCGCAAAGCCTTTCGATGATATGAAAATCTATTGTTGCTCCCAGTTATGAAATTTAAAGTTTCAGAAATGGTGACGATCAAGAAGATCTATAAACTCTTGAAAATATTGAAATGGGCGATCCACATAATGCGTTAGAAGATGAACTATCTTTAGAACATGAACCATCTTTAGAACTAGAAATCCTCTTTTTTCATGTCTATGAATCTCAAGGTCAAGATAATCAATTTGAGAGTTTTCCAGCATAGGAACAACCTTCTCTAGTGGGTTTTTTAGGTGCACCTTACTCATAAATTATAAGGTTAACACCATCTATAAACTTTTGCATATATAAAGTGCTCTGACATCAAATACTTATTTTGTGCTTTTTTTTTTTTACCTTTTCTTTCTTTTCAATGAAGGTTGACATTTATAGATTTGTAAGGGAAACATTGAAGGTTGCCATTTATAGATTTGTAAGGGAAACATGTGGAGTAAAGTAATTGGGGCTCCACAAGTGGGGCACATTCTATACATCCAAAATCAGGGGTCAGAAAGAACCTTTGTTCATCAAAATACTCCAAACCCATGGGGCATAAACTACTTTGGTTCAAAAAATATGTTCTACAGATACCGATAGGATATTCTAAGTTCTCTAAACTCCTTTTTTTTCTTCCTTTGCGAGATATGGGTTAGTTATGCAAAGTTTTCTTCCTTCTAAGGAGTTTCTTCCCAACTTTACCTCCATTTTCAAATAATGTGTTAACCCACCACAATTTTTCCTAATGAGGAGTGACTTTACCAACTTTACAATGTACAAAATAAGTTTTTGACAGTTACAAAAGTTCTGATGACTCGGTCTTGGCCGCTTGTCACCCGGTCGCAGTCAAGTTTCTAAGTCCCGGACAACTTGGAAAGAACCTGCCATGTCCGACTGTTTTTTTATATGTATATATATTTTTATTGGGCAGAAAACAAAAATATTTTAAGATCGAATTTGGGGCCAACATGGGTATTACAGCCTCAAAAGCCATAGGATGGTTTTTGCCTGATCTATCAGATCCATAAACAAATTTTCCACAAGATATGATTTTTATGGATTTCAAATAATTTGATTTTTAAATTTTGGATTTGAAAAAGCTTCCGTTCCGCAAGCATCAAATCTCATCAATGGGAAGCCTAGCCCCAAAAGGACTTTGGGGGTTCGGTTTTGGAGACTCTTAGGGTCGATCTACATGTAATTGCTTTTACACTGTTTTGTAATAGGAAATTTGATTTCTTTTGTTAGAGTTGATTGTTAACTTTAACACTACAAATATTTTTATTTTTGATCCATACGTTTCCATCCCATTGCTGAGTCCAGGGCCATTTCCAGCTTTTAGAACACTGGTTTTTTAATTCTAGAGCCATCCCCAGCACTTATCTCATATTTGTCTGATGGAATGATTTTTTTATTTCATAATATTGCTTAGTTTTTGCAATTTTTAAGCAATTCTTAACCAATTTTTCCAGAGCCATTTCCAGCTTTAAAACATTAATTTTTTTTAATCTAGAGCTATCCTCATCACTTGTCTCATAATTGTCTGATGGAGAAGGTCTTATAATTTAGTCATCCATGTACCCAAAAAAAAAGAAAAAGAAAAAGAAAGACAACAGTGAAATGCATGCCAAACTTAAGTATTTTGCAATCCACATGATAGGCTGGTGGTCAAGTAGAATGAAGTTATAGTATTAAATCTTGGCATTCTGCACAGTGAAATTCAATACAGGGTGATGGATAATTAATTCAATGGAGGATGTTTCTCATCTCAGCTTTACTACGATAGCTACCATGGTACAGATGTTTCCCTAGTGGTATCAAGGCCAGAAGATTTGACTAGACGACTGATTCTGAAATTTTTAAGCATAGAACAGCAGAGGTGATGAGTAAGAGAGTAAGCAATTATCAACAAGTGAATAAACTGAAATACCTAGATAAGAAACTTTAGTAAACCCTAAAACCTATGCTTGTTTCCATAATATCTTATACTCAATATGGTTAAAAAAAATAGATTATTTCTAGAAAGATGAAAAACATGAAGGATACATATCATGATTGTACAAAATAGATTATTTACGGGTATTTTAGAGTCTTAAATGTGTACTTGTCAAGTTAATTTTAGGGTTTCATAAGCTTATAAAAGATTGGCTGTCAAATTTTGGGATGCTTACATAATTGGAATGAATTTTTTTTATGAAAGAAGAAAGTTCTTCTCTTGGCTTGATTCACAGCCATGTTTTTCCTCCATTATTGTTGATTTTACTAGTTTAAGATTTAGGAAAAGGGTTGATTTAATTTCGCACCTTTCCTTCTTGCATCAATAGCCCTAGAGGGTGATTCAAGCAATGTAATCAGGTGCGTGTAGCAATAGAACTTTGGGCTGTAGTCAGCAGCTTGCAAGTGACCCTACAATACGCATGGAGAGGGTCAAATGACAAGGTGGATAGCTGGGTAGCGGGTGGGGGTAGCAAAACAAAATCTCTCTAGCACCAGGTTTTTGATAAGGCCTTAGAAGATTCAACTCACTTTTGTAAAGTCCAGGTGTAAAGCCTCATTTTTGTAGTAGAAGAGTCTAATTTACACAGACTCAATTTTGTAGATAAACTGCTTATACTTGTGGATCAGTTCTTAATATGCGATAAAAAAATAGTTGCCGTTTAAATAAAAAATGCCGTTCTTGACCTTTATGTGTTCCCTTGGAATCTCTTTGACTCTTGCAGTCTTTTTTAAATTGCATCCTAGAGGTCTACTACAGCACTCATTGCTTCAATAAAATCAATTACATGGAAAACAACCCAACATGAGGATATTCAGTCATTTTGATACTGTTCATTTTGATACATGGGCTGTATCAATACATGTAGGAATATTATTCAAAGAAAGCAGTATGCCTGGTATCCAGTGAGATCAGCTACAAAATAACCTATTCACCTTGGCACCAGGTGCTACCATGAAATGACTACCATAGAACTACGAATTTTGTGTTTGGAGGTATATAAGTTTATCTTTTGGCTAATTTACCCAAATTATAAGTTTCCTTCTCTGATGGCATGCAGGAAAATTACTTTTCTCAACTAAAGCACCAAAAAAGCAAACCAAATACCAACAATATTCAAGAAGGTTGTTACAATGAGCAAATTACAAGATCACAAATCATGGAAGCAAGCAGTCCTGATCTAGAAAATATCTTTAGAGCTAACAACAAGAAAAATTACATTCATCTTTCTCAATCTACTCTTAGAATACTAAAATAAAATAACTATGGCCGAGAAGCTAAAACCTTGGTATTCAACAATAAATAACAGGTAGAAAGACATTGAACATTATAACTACACTTCAATGTGCAATTTGTTTTCTCGAACCAGAATGGATGCTGAATTGGAAAGTTGCAATACAAACAAAGAAAGTGACACACCTTAACCAAAAATGTATTAAAAGTCCCATAGTAAGATTGAAATTGATCACATGAATAATAGAACCAAATCGTGACTACCAATTTCACTATTTATTTGGGGAAAAAAAAAGTGTCCGACTCCAATTGTGTGCACATAATGATATCATGAGAAAACAACTTACTCTCTTCATGGAGTAGTGTAATGCTACCCCACTACATTGCTATACTTCAACTCAAAACCAAGAAGGAGGCTGAACCACTTAGCTATTAAGCACATAAATCAACCACCAACCAACAAGAGTAACCTTCCATCTCCTCAATGTTATCCATTCAATAACTTAATGAGTCATCTTATATAAAAAAATTAATTCCTCAATGTTATCCACTCAATAACTTAATGAGTCATCTTTTATAAAAGACATAATTCATTGCATAAACATGAAACAGACACCATAAACTGTGAAAATACAAACATATGACAACTACCAATTGATTTCGATCTACTGAGTCATTTTCTCTCCAAAGACATAAGAAGATTAAATTATATATAAACTTGGGGACATCAATATCAATCAAAACAGAGAAATCCATCATACATAACAGAAAGATATCACAATGAGAACAAGAGGAAGGAGATAAACCATATGTAAGGATAAGCCAACCCTGATCAAGCAAAACCATAAAGCCAAAAAGAAAAATAAAAAAGAAAAGCAAGTCCAACAACAAATCACAAATTAATTATAAAAACTAACCTTTCCATCTATAAGTAGACGTATGCATTCATCGACTTGAGCGTTTCCACCATTAACTTTGTTTGCTCATGCACCAGCTCCACTCTCTTCAAGTAGGCATCCATCTCCAACATCTGCTGCCTCCTCCACTTCTCCTCCAACATCCTCACCTTTGATTTCTCCATCGACCCCAATACCCTCTTCGCAAGCCCCTCCCCCCCAACAAACCCTAGCCCACCAAACCCTGGCACAAACCCAGGATGGCTATGGGGACTCGGCCCACTCTGAATCCACTCACCAACCAATGTCGAGCCTGGATCCATCGACTCAGGTACTTTGCCACCCTCCACATGGTTCTGGACACACTCCTTCTTGACTGCATTTGCCTTGGAAATGCGTCTCGTCTTTGCATTCGAAACAGGACTGGGGTTGGGTTTTTGGGAGTCATTCTCTTCAAATTCAGCTTCTTCTTTAGTATTTTCACAGCCCCAGATCTTCTTCGAGATCTGATAAACATCCTGCTCCTCTGGAGTCTTGAAATTAACCTCTTTTCCTGCTTCCTCTTTCGCAAAAGTGTTCTTGAACTTCTTCCTGAGCCTCTTGAGCTTCTCCACAACCTGAGACTGAGATTTATTACTCTCACTGTTAAGCCACTTCTGAACAAACTCATAGATGGCCGCATGGTCTTGAAGGCCTTTCGGGTACTTCTTCGAATAGTCGAGGAACCCTTTGAGAAGGTCAATCTCCTCATCAACTTTCCAAATCCTCTGAAAAAGCTGCTTCCCACCTCCCTCAGCATTTACCTCTGAAAGCTTCCGTTTTTTGAGATCTTTGCTATCATCTTTTCTAGATTTCATGGGTTCAGAGCGTTTTGAGGGAGGAGGCGGGCTTTTTATCGACTTTGTGGCCCTGGACTTAGGGGAATCAGTGACCAACGGAATGTCCATGGGCTTCGAGCCAAGAGGCTTGACTGAGTGAGAGGCGGGTGGGTTAGCAGGGTTCCCTTTGTCTTTGGAGGAGGAGCGGGTAGTGGAGGACCGGGCCTTAGTGGGTGGCTTCGTCTTTACACCCTCGGATTCAGATTCTTCGTCATTATCATCTTCCTCCCCTTGTTCGTCCGATTCTCGAACAGTTTCTTCTTCCCCTTCCTCAGATTCCTCGTTTTCAGAGGTAGGGGATTCTGGGGGATGGACAGCGGGCTTACGCTCATAGTGCGATTTATCTTCCTGTTCCGAGGAGGAAGAGGAACTTTCGGAGGAGGAAGCCGAAGGTTTCCTCTTGGGGGCCATGTTTCTTTTACTCACTCTGAGAGAGAGAGGAAGCTCACACACAGAGAGAGGGAGATGGGGAAGAGAAATATACAGTTTGAAAAAGAGGTCCGAGACAACGCCAGATTGACTCGAAAGGGTTTATGGTTTAGAGCGTTTGAAAAATAGATCGGATTGCCCATCCTGAAAATTGGGTTGAATGAGTAGGTTTGCAATCCGAATTGAAGGATCAGCCGGATCAAAATTTCAAAAAATATTTTAAAAAAATTAAAATTCTCATTTTCTAAAACATATCAGTATGATATTATATTTTTATTAGTTTATTAAAAATATATAAAACCTGATAACATGTCTCATAATTAAAAATATAAATCATTGTAATTAAATGGATATGTCTAACTCAAAGGAAGTATATAATAGATTTGGATCTTTGGATTTAATAGAATAGAAGAAAAAGTATGACTCTCACTCAAGTTCGACACATCCATTGTAATAATCTTAAAACTTTACAAAAAAAAAGAAGAAAAGAAACTTTTAATAAGTGATGGTCCATATGAGCATGATGGTCCTTAGGGACCATCACTATTTTCAAAATCTTTTGATTTAAGTTTTTACTGCCACGTCCTTTAATAGACGAGGGCTTTAAACGTTCAGGTGTAATATAATTGTTACACCTCATGTATGAGGTGTAATTTAATAAAATAAAATAATAAGGTGTCTTAAGAATTTAAATAAGAGAAGCGAGGACTCTTACCTTAGAAAATTTTTGAAATCTTTCTCTCTCTAGTTGAAACGCAGTGAGCTCTTTTTCTCTTTAGCCAAATTTTTATCAGAAGCTCCCTCTCAAATATTTTAGGTAAGTGACTTCATTATTTTGAAAAATAATCCGTTCTTTTTAAAAATGAAATGAAATAATTACTTTTGCTTATTATCATGAATTTTAAGCGCGATAAATTTTATGCACAAGCGACCTCATTATTTTGAAAAATAATCTTTTTAATAAAATTGTGATATTTTATCTATGTTGGAAATTTTAAATGCTATAAATTCTTAGAAATAAATTTATTTATTTTTCTTGTCTATTGTTAGAGAATTTTAGATATTGTAAAATTATTAGAAATAAATGTGATATTTCTGCTTTTAGTAAAATTGTGAGATTTCTTTCTACTATTTTTGAATATTTAGACATTGTAAAATTCATGTGCAAATGACTGCCTTATTATTTGAAAACTGATATTTTTGTAATTTATTATAGCATTGTCTGTGAAATGTTTATTTGCGAATTGACATCCCATAAGTGTGATAATTCCGTATTTTTGAATTTCTATAAGAATTTTTCTATACATATTAGATTGGCAATTATGCTAAAATGTCTTTACGAACTGCTACCTTTCTAAATTTGAGCCCAAAATATTTGACTGGTTATTTTTGAAATGTTATTGAAAATGACTGTTATTAATGGTTTCAGTGAAATTCATATTAATAATTTCAGTAATATGTTGAGTATATGATATTGCTGCTTTCGAATGTTTAAAGAGATTTAGAAATACTTTAAGTATGCAAGTGGACTCATCCGGTTCGTCGGTGAGATATAAGTGGTCCTATCTGGTACGTTGGTAGGGATTAAGTAGACTCATCCGGTACGCCGGTAAGGTATAAGTGGACGTGCACGTTCTGATGATAGGAAGGTGGCCTTGGCAGTTTTTACGTTAGAAGGTGAAGCACAACATTGGTGGCAAATGGCAAAGGAGTATTGGTCAAAAAAAATAAACCCTTGACTTGGGAAGTATTTCTAGAGGCATTTAATGAAAAGTATTTTCCAGATTTTATTCGAAACAAAAAAAAATGGAATTTCTGGAATAAATCCAAGGAAACCGGACAGTATCACAGTACGAGGCCAAGTTTACTGAATTGGCCAGGTTTGCACCACATATGATTAACAATGAGGCAAGAAAGGTGAAACAATTTGAAAGGGGTCTCAGACCTGCTATTAGAAGCATAATATTAGTCTTAAAATTGAGAACTTATGCTGAAATAGTGGATCGAGCCCAAATTGTCGAAAACGATTTCGAAGATTACCAAAAGATGAAAAATCAGAAAAGTCAGGTTAGACCCACACCATCTAATCGACAACAGCTTGAAAGGGCAAACAAGAAGCCAAGGCTCTTGCCACTTCAAAGCCCAATAGAACCATGTAAAAAATGTGGAAAAACCATGGATCGAATCCTTGTTATTGGAATACTTGAGCCTATTTTAAATGTGAAAAATTGGGGCACTAGATTAGAGAATGTTCTAGCTTACAGATGCAACAGCTTCCAAAGTAGGGAAAGATTGCTCAATAGCCTCAGATGAAGGGAAGAGTATTTGCGATCACCCAACAAGACGCTCAGGCCTCAAAATCAATGATCCAAGGTAGTCTGATTATCTTCCAAAAAGTAGCTCATATTTTGATTTATCCTGGATCTTCTCATTCATTTGTGTCACC